GAAAACTCAATAAAATTTTATAAACATTTTTTTTCATAAATTTAATTTTATTAAATATACGAGAAAAGATAGAGTTAATCGTCGAAACTCAATGGTGACTTGGGCAAATATTTTCTGAAAGCTACACATATATGTATATGACATCTTGCAAAAGGATTAGATATTTTTGAAAATGCAGTTTTGCGTTTGTATTTCTAACTTTGAACTTATTTAACTCTAGCAGCAGAAAAGAACGACTTCAAAACACGACTTCAGTGTTGCTACTTGTAAAAAAGCATAAATTTTTGCGGTTATCGTTGCGTATTCGGCATAAATTTTTTTATATGTTAATTTGTAGTTGTAGCTTAAAAATATATTGCCAGAAAATTGCGGAATTTTCAAAAATGCATTTTCGGCAGTTCGCACAGTTTTTCTATTATTCGATAAAGTTTTGGCAGTTTATCGAATATACCGCAAATTAAGTACTAGAATCGAACTGAATTATCAAAAATACACATTCACACATTTTAATAAAGTAATTTTTATGTTACTAAACATGTTTATGAGAAATTTGAGTCTTTATCATCCGTTAAGTACGTAAATTCGTTATACATATGAGAAAATACATTTTGAATTTCTACATTGTAGCTTTTTCCTGAATTAATTGAAAAACGATAAAATTTTACATATATATTGTTTCACCAAATTCAAAACACTACTGTTAATGTATAAATTAATAATAAATTGTTGAGTCCAAGTAATTGCCTTAAACTATTCATCAAAAGCTCGTTAACATGCATTTTTGTTTTACAGAATGAGAGGCGAAAAGCTAAATCGATTTAGAATTCGACATTGAGCAAAACTATGTATGTATTTCTTAAATCTTATTTCTTTGCATTGTACAAACGGTATGATAAATTTATAATACGTTTCAGATATTCCTTCATATATATGAGTGTAAAAATGGAAATTGTATCCTTGTTATCCGCTGTTGCAAAGTACATAAAAAATTTTTTTTTTTGTTTTGTTTTATATTTCATTAAACGTTCAATATTTACTTTGAATGACGACATCAAATATTTTATGATGCACAAGTTTGTTTCTGCAAATATTATATTTCAAGTACAAATTACTTTAAAAGTAATTTCAAGAATTCTTAAAAATAAAGTCAAAGATGAATTACAAAATATTTCCACTAAAATTCTGTTTTTTTTTTGTTTTTCATGAATTTCAATATTGTCTTTAATTGCATTTATTTAATAATAATTTTAAAAAATCAATTTAACTTTAAAATTAATGAATTTATAAAACAATAAAAAAAAAACATACACTTGATTTATTTTAATCAAAAATAATTTTGTAATTCTTAATTTTAAAATTAATTTAAAATTTAACCTTGAAATTATTTGTAAATTTCAATTGAATTTGAATTTTATTTTATAATAAAGCATAAACGTGACTCAAACTCTCTTCGAGACATGATTAAGGTGAAATTCTAATTTTTTTTTTAACATAAAATGTAAATTTATATTATTATGTCTATGTGCCATAAATTTATCAGTATACCGCACGTATGCACACGCATTAAACGGGTATGTCAAGGAATCCTGTACATTGTAAATTATGATTCTTTAGAGATTTGAGAAAAATAAGAACATTAATCTGTTAAATATTATTTCAAATGAAATTTAGTAAAAATGTATGAATTCAAAATAATTTGGATTTTCATCAATAACATTTTCATTAAATTCTTAGAATTCTTGGGCTGGTAACGAAAAAAAATAATACATTATAGGTGTTAAAACAATAGGTAAATTTATTCGTGGGATAATATTGTTATAAAAGTAAAGAGAAAAATTTTTTCATCTTGAATGTAGAATTTAATAGTATTGAAGAGTATTAGGAGTTTATTCTTAATAACAAATGCAATAAATCATTAAGAATTAAGTGAATGAGATTTTAATAAAAAATAATATAGGCAAAATATTTAAATTGAAAATATTGTGAGTATTGCGACTTTACAAAAAAAATGCAATAATATATTTTAATTCTTTTAAGCGTGAACAGCGGAAACCACAAACCAAAATCACCGTTTTGAGTGCTGAATTTTATATGAATATTATGAAGAAAATGGTAAAGAGAACAGAAAATATTAAAGAAAATTTAAGAGGTTACAATATTTAACCTTATACAACTCTGTTTGTTTGCAAAGTAAATAAAATTTCCAACAACCAGTATCATTGAATAGAGGAGGGTAACTAAGTCAAGTATACTTGTTTTTATTAACAGCCGTATTTCTCTTTGAGTCAGTCTTATAACTATGTGATATTTGAGTATCCAATTAGCATGAAAATGAGCATAACCATATATAGGGGCGAATAATTATCTATGAAATTGATTGATGGAATTTCTTGAATTTGCTACCGAAACTAAATGATAATTTTTTCAGGAAATTCGGATCGCACAAAATGGAATTCTACGAAGAACTAATTTTATATTTTTCTAGGAATGTTATTTAAAACGCTTACTATTATCCTTAAAGAATTGTAGAAAAGTGTTTAAAACTCATTTTTATAATCTTCTGTATCATTTTTGCTAATGATTATGTGCTGATCATATCAGATTTTTTTTTTTCAATTTTTCAGTCCTAATACTTAAAGCTATGAATGGAAATACATAAAAAGTTTTTATATTAAAGGACTTTGTATAAGATTTTTATTATAAAACAAAGTGTATGAAAATTAATATGTGAAAAAAAATTATTTAGAAAATAACTATTATGCAAATAACTGGTATAAATTTCATAAAAGAATGTTATACAAAAATTTTTGCTTTTATAAGAAGAATAATGGAATCCTTGCTTTTAATAGAGATTTTTAAACAATATTGAAAATAATTAATGCTCTACTTAAATGCAGCTGAAAAGAAAATTATAATTTTATATAAATCAAGGTTGAAAATGTAATTAACTTCTAATTAAAATGTAACATTATAAAACATTATATTGAATAAGATTATTTGGCTTGATTATTAATACCATTGGGCATTTAATAAAAATATTCAAGAATTAAAAAATATTTAATTTCGTACAACTAATTGAAATCTTGGAATATAATATGTAGCAAGGCATTTGTTTAATTAACAATATCAAATTATTTGTAATTTTAAGAAGTTCGAAATTGCAATTACTATTATATACACATACATTCCAATTTCATAATTTTAGATGGTTTTAATCTGGAACCATTACATACTTTAGTCTCACACAATGTTGCTAGTGTCACAAAAATTAAGCGAATAGTCTGATATTTTTTTGTTCAAAAATAAACAATTTTTAAAATTTAGTAAACTTAACCCTATTTAGATTTAAGAATAATCCAGACATATTTGATTTATTCGCTTAAATACCAACATACTGTAATAAAAATATTCAAATTCTTAAAAATCAATTAATGAATCCTTATAATTTATCTTTTCATTTTTAAGTTTTACAGAAAAAATATTGATAAAAAGATCTTCTGCAAGCAGATAAGAAAACTTAAATTATATTGACGCCACAATATGATAAACCGCAAATTTTAATTTGCGTTTCCTATTTATGCTTAAAACGAACTTGTAATGATTAAAAACAGTTCACATTAGGTCATTGGTTTGTGGCAAATTTAAAAAAAAAAAAACGATTTGCTCTACGTTTCTAATATTTTTTTATATTTTCCCATACAATTCATCTAACCAATATTGCCCATACATACTCTGCAATAAAATTATGCTCTGTTACATAAATTCATTTTTTTAAATTTTATTTTCATTTATTTTAATTGTAAATCCACAACCGAATAACCCATATTAACCCAGAGAAAATATTTTCATGTTAAATTAAAACAAACATTTGATATTTTTTACGCTCTATTAAATTGAGAAAACCTCAAACAGTGGCACAATGCCACAATAACTAAAAGAAATACTAACCATTATAAATAATTAAAATCAAAAATCACTATGCATGTGCAAAATTCTATGTTTGTTGTGTCATCATACATAAATCGAAGAAAAATTCAATTTTTTAAAAAACTTCCAAGAAAATATTTTTTAAGTACCTGCATACTACATTTCGGAACTATTAATTATACCAAAAAATATTTACACTATGTTTTATTAAAATTTTATAGTCAATAATAAATTTTTTCTTTAGGGACTAAAATATAAAAGAAATAAATATTATAAATTAGGTCGTTGTTCAACTTAATCATTAAATTTTGTTTGCAATCCCCTTTTTATACAATTTTAATATTAAATTAAAATAAACCTAATATTAATATTAAAGTGGTATATGAAGTGGTAAAATAATTCTACTATAAATTTTGTAAAAACCAAATATTTCGTAATAAATTTTATATTATTCCATTTCATTGCATGGTAAAATTATTTCATCTAAAGAATCAATATATTTTTAGAAATTACCAAGGTAAATATATGGTATATATTTGGTTTTTTGCTTTTCTTAATCATTAATGAATTATTTTAGAGATATTAGATAAGAGGAAAATATTATCTTGTAAAAACAATTAGTTTTGGGCAGGAGCACATGAACAAATATTTTTGTTGCTTAAGCAACAACCTATTGAAACTTATCTTTTCCAATAAAATTTAAAATAGTTAATGATATTTGAAATGAATGTAGAACGCTGGTTTGCAATAAAATCTAAAATAATTTTTCCAATTATTCAAAACGGGAACTAAAATTTTGAATTTAGATAAAATTTTCTTGCAGATTAAAATAAAAATTTCTAAAACAATTAAAATATGATTTTCAAGGCAATTTTAAATTCTTACGCCGTGAATCTCATTCTTACATTGTGTTCATTTCAATTTTACTTCTTACACCTGTGCTATTTATTGTATGTTTAAAATCGAGCCGGTTTCGCAGTATATAAAATAATGTTTTAAAATGAATTTGTTTTTTATGACTACATTATAAAATTTGATCTACAAAACTTTAAATTAATTAATATAAATTTTACCAGAAATAATTGCATTTTATATTGGGTAATCCTTTTATTCTTTTAAAAAATTTTCCTATCAAATAATATTATGGCTTTGTTAATTAAATATTATATTATAAATTTTATGTTTATAAATGAAATTTTTTCTAATTTTTTAATAATTTCAATTTTTTTAACAGAAAACTATTTTAATTTTAATATTTTATTACACAGTTATATTACCGTGGTTAACACTAAACTCCTTGTTGTAAATTTTAAAATCAAATTTATTCAAACAATGCGGATTTTTTAAAAACACATTTAATTATTTTTCAATTAAAATTATTTTTTTCCAATAATATTTACAAGAATCTTTGAAATCTTTAATATTAATTTTTTTTTAATATAATCAATAATTTGGGGAGTTTAAATTATATTTTAATTGTAATTGAGTATGTCAATTTTCAAGTCAAAAAATTAATGCTATGTATAATTACGATATTCGATTAAAATTTTAAAAATTTTAAAATATTAAAATATTTAAAAAAATCATAAATTTTTTTTTTTAAGTATTTAAAAACTTTGTCTTTCTCTTCTTTTACGTTCAACTATCAAACAACTTAATTAGCAACGATTTTATTAAAAAAAAATAATTTATTATTATTTTTATGTATATTCCTTCTATTATCCTTCCAAATTAACTATCTATTTCTATTATCCTTTCAATAACTGCACTATTTTTTTTTTGTTTTTTACAAAATAAACCAAAAAAATAATTATTGTCCTTTCCTTAATATACGAATTTAAATTCAAATAGAAACCGTTTTTTCCCTTTAAATATCCTTATATAATGAAAAATTTTTATTTTTTTATCCTTGAATATTCGATATGAATCAATTGCCGCCAAATTAACAACTAAAAGAATTTAAACTATTGTAATGAATTATATAGAGGTAAGAATTAAAGAACAGAAATTGAATAAAAAGAAAAATCAAAAAAAAGAAAAATTTAAAAAATATTGTGCTTTTCATTTTTCCTAAAATATTATCCGATTCCTTTTATACTTTTACTTTTCAAAAATCAAAAAAAACAAAAACAACATAACAAATGCAGATTTTCAGTAGTAGATATTACAGCTATATGCATGTCGTTTAAAAAATATTGTGAATGTGTAAATCATGTGTACATAACCAGAAAAGATTACAAAAGCTTTTACCATTCACTCCAATTCATTCTTATACCATTATCATCCTTCTTTTACCAAAAAAAAAAAAAACACACAAAAAGTAATCGGAAAATTTATTTTGTTTTTATTTACATATTCTTTTATCGGTTTTTCTTCTTAACCCTTAACAAGCTGAATTAAAATAACCGAAATAGAAGAGAAAAATATTAAGAATTTTATATTCTCTAAAATTTTTTACTCTCTTAAATTATTGAATTTAATATTGGTTTTATTTGAAACGGGAATATAATTTTGAGTAAAACGGGAAACCGGTTTTTATAAAATACATTTCTAAATTAAAAAATTATAAAAGAGAAATATTTTAAAATTTACCGATTCAATTTTATTAAATATGCTTTCAATGAAATTTTCTCTTAAACTTGGCTTTATATCGAAAAAACTTTTATAATATAAAAAAAGCTGTTTTAAAGAAAAGCTCTCAATTTGTATTTAAGAGAAGAAGTAGCTTTATTTGTATTATGGAATCCGTTATTAATTCAAAGCTTGATATTTTAAGAGCTTCAGATTACAATTACTTTATTTTTATTATCCTTATTATTGTGAATAATTTTCCATTTATTTAAGACTTTGTTATCATTCAAGGATTATATATCTATACTTGAGAGAATCTAGTTTTTGAAATAGAAGAGAATTTTTAACGGAATGAAAATTATTTTAAAATTTTTGCATTTTCTTTATGTAAATTTAATTATAGTCATTACTATTTCTATATTCACATAGCTCCACATATAACATATGTATATACAAATACTATTACTAAGTTTATTTACATCAGATTATTGTCGCGTAATAGAGGCGAATTCTAAAATAGTGAAATTAAATATAAAAACAGTTGAAACAATTTATAATCCCCATTTTATAATTTTCCATTTCAAAATTGTCATGAAATTCTGAATTATTATTAGCCTCGAAAACAAGCAAAAATTCAAAACATTTTAATTCCTAAGAATAGAATGATTTTTTTCCCATTTATTATAGCTTTTTAGTACCTTCATTTAAGGATTCAGGAATAGCAGAAATTTGTTTTTTAGTTTTTTTTTTTTTTTTAAATTTAATTTATTCTCATTTTCCAGTCTACTATATTATTATTGTATTACAATATATGCATAATTTTACAAAATATAACATTTTTTTTTTTCGGGGATTGAGGGAATCTTACGATTAATAATATAAGAAAAAATTTTACATTACAATTTTACATTTATACACTAAAAATATAATTATATAGCTCTTATTTTATTTAATTTTTTTATTTTAAATTATTAAATATTAATTAATTTTAATAAAATTATAAAATAGTACCTTAAAGATAAAATTTTTTAATTTAGATATTGATGTTTCTCTGAACAGAAAAAATTAATTGTAGAAATGTTTAATTTTATTAGTTTTTGTTTAAATTTAGAAATCGGGCTCGTTTATAAACTACAAATTTCAACATATTATTAAAAAAAAAAATCTCAATAATAATTATTTAAAATACATTTCAATTAGATTTATGGAATAGCTTAATAAATTTAGCTTTTATTTTAAACAGTATTGATTACTATAATATGAAATTCAATGCCGAAATAAATTTCGGACTGTACCAATGCAAAATAATTCAAATAATTTTAAATATACTTTAAATAATTTCATATATAAATTTTACTTGAAAGTGATTTTAAAAATTAGTTTCTATTTATCTATAAAGTAAATTATTTTTTAAAGTAATGTGACAATATATAATATTTTTTACTGAATTTTAAAGTTTTACATTACGAATTAAGTTCTTCTTTCAAGATTTCTTTATGCATTTTAATGGACAAAAATTTTTAAAATTGGCATTGTTTATTTTAAAAATTTACCAATATAACATTATTATTATCTTTTTTTGCTTTTCTATTTTAAATTAGTCGTTATAGATATTAATTTTCTTATTCAGTAGACAAATTTCTTATCATATTTTTGTAATAAAATTAAAATTAAATTTTCAGTAATATTTTGAATTAGATTTTTCAAAAATATAGCTTAATTCAAAATTTATATTCTAATTAATACGATTCAACAAGATGAAATCAAATTGAAAAGCAAATAAAATGTAAGAAAGTAATGACTTATTGTATAGCTTTATAAATATTCCAAAAATATTATATATTCAAATTGAAATAATAATCAATAAATAAAATTTAATTTTAATTTTTTAAAATTTATGCCCGCAAGCTTGTTATATTGTTATAAATTATTGACAAATTTTATTCCAAATGAAAATTACATTACAAGTATTTTATTTAAATATATTTTGAATTTTTAATTTATAGTTTTCTTTTTTGGAAAAACCCTAATTGACTTGATTTTGCAAATTAAATCACTCAATAATCAAAATTGAATAACAGTATTTTATTGATTTTGCAATGATTTAAAATTTTATTAAATTTCATTATCAAATCCTTTATTAATTTGTATACAAGCATAATTTCTATTCTAATTCAAGTTCAGATGAGCAACTTAATTACAACATATATATGCATCTTTAGAATATACACATATATGTATATATATATTGTAATTTTAAATCATTACTTCACTTTCCACTAATATTAACGTATTAATATATTATAGAAATTAATAGATTCTTATTACTTCAATTTGAATTAATATTTTTTTCAATATAACATTTTCGCTTACTGTCCTAATAACTATATATTATGAAAGTGCAAAATTACTATATTAATACAATTTTATATAATATTTTTTATTTACAGATAAAATTTTCTTTTAAATTCTAAATAATTTAAATTTTAATCATTCTTAAACGAGTAACACATTTACAAAATATTAAACATTATTATAAAATAAATTCTATTCGTATTATTATTAATTTTATTTTTAATAAATTTAAAATAAAATTCTTAAATTTAGAAAACCTAAAAAGAAATATACACATATACTTATTACATTACATTTATATAATTATTTGTTTTCATTAATTTTTAAATGATAATAAATTAAAGCGATTACTTTCAAAAAATAAAACAAAATTATAATAATAATAATAATAATTATTAAAGTAAAATATTATAATATTAAAAAAAAAATATGTATATATAAAATTCTAAGCAGCTTCAGGCGGTTTTTCTGGTGCTAAATTCATTATCTCCTGTCGATGTAAAACTAATGGAACAAATTTCTCATGTACATAATTATCTTCGTTCTCTGAAGAATGACGTATTAATTCATCTTCTTCATCATGTGTCATATCAATTTCTGATGGTTCTTCTGGTAACCTATAATCACCATTTCTTTCAATTGGAACTATTTTAATTTCGGGAGATTCATTTGAATTATCTAATTGATGTTCAGATTGTTGTTCAGATTCAATAGAAATATTTTCAGAAGAATTATCCAAAAATTTTGTAATATTGTTATTATTATGAGAATCTCCTAAAAAAATAAAAGAAAAAATTTTAAAAATATAAAATTTTATATATCTATATACATTATACATTTCAAATAATATTTTAAAGTTTGCAGCATTAAGAAGTGCACAAAAAATATATAAAATTTTATATTTTTATTTAATTATATAAATATAGATTAATATTATTAAAACAAATAATTTTAAAAATTCATTTTTTTTTCTTAAATAAAACAACGTACCGTTTTGGATGAATACAGGACCAATAGTAGTTTCAACAACATGTTCCGTTAAATTTAATGAATTAATTAAACCAATTGAGGCACTGTTATTATTAATTGTTTTCATTACAGATGTTGTAGGTAATATCGTTGTTGTCGTTGTAGTTGTCGTACTGCTCGTTGACGTCGGTAAAATTCTCAATGTTTGTTCTTTAATTGGTAATGGTAATTTAATTATAACTGGAGCAATTGTTGGTAAAAATTCACTTCTAATAACTGTTAATTTAGGAGCAGGATGTGCAACCAATATATATGGTTCATCGGTACAAATTTCTTCATTCGGCTCATAACAATATTTACCACGTATTCTTGCACCTTGACTATCCATTACAGGACACAGTTCTGCAACTTTTTCAATATCACACATAAAAGGATTATCTAAAAAAAAAAAAAAATTTTTTTATAAATATTTAAATAAATTTTTAAATATTTTTTATATACCTTCTAACCATATTTCTAATTTACCAAGAACACCATGGTTAGAACATCTTGTTTTTGACACTAAATCTGGTGATACCGAAATAATTTGATTGTGTGTAAAATTAGCTTGGCATAATGTTGGTAAACCATGAAAATCTTTATCTAAACTTGTTATATTATTGAATTGAACCTTCAAATATTTAAGAGATGGAAGTGATGTCTACAAATAAAATGTAAAAATTATTGTATGAAAAATTTATATATGTATATATAGAATAGAAATTATGAACAATTCATACCGTTGATGTTTCTTCCAAAGTTAATAATTGATTATTTGATAGATCCAAAACTTCTAAACTTTCCAAACCAATAAAATCATCAGATGAAATACGTTCAATTTGATTATATGCTAAATTTAAAATTTTCATTTTATTGAGTCCAATTAATGCTCCATCAAGTGATTTTAATAAATTATTATTTAAATAAAATTCCATTAGAAAAGAAATCGGTTCAATTAAATTTTCTCGTGAACCAGTTAATTTTCTTATACGATTATATGAAATATCAAATATTTTTAAAACATGTAATCCTCGAATTTCTTCCATTGAAAATTCTTCAATCAAATTAAATGAAAAATTTGCTGTTTTTAATCTTACCATCGGTAATAAACTTCGATTTAATGATTTAATATTATTTATTGAAAAATCAACTTCAATCATTATTTCAGCCTCTGAGAATTCATCTTCAGCTAAATATTTTATACGATTATTAACAGCATTAACAGTTGATAATTTTTTATTAGTTTTTAAATTTCTATTCAATGATTCCAAATGATTATTGTCCAAATAAACTCGATCTAAATTAACATATTCTTTTAATTCTTCTGGTAAACTTTTTAATTTATTATTTTTTGCCAATAATAATTTTAAATTTGGTGATGGTGGTAATTCTCCATCCAGTGTTGTTAAATTATTTTCATTTATAAAAAGATGCTCTAAATTTAAGAGTCCCTGTAGTGATCCATTTAATGTTGAAATATTATTTATACCCAAATGTAAAGTAACAAGTCCTTTTGGTAAAGAATTTTTATCAATACGTGTTATATTGTTACTAACCAAAAATAGATATTTTGTCAATGGTACACCCTTTAAATCATCACGATTGACAGATCGTATTTGACCTTTACCTAAATCAAGTGTTGAAACTTTTGGTAAATGATTGAGAACATGTTTTGGTATCTCTTCCAAATAATTTTCACCAAAACTTAAAAACTCCACACTTGATAAACCTCGAAATGGTAATTCTGGTATAGTCCTAAAATTCAAAAGGTAAAAAAAAATTATAGAAAATTCAAAGAATAATAAAATTTTTATTTTAGGCTGAAATGCAATATATGTAGGTATCGCGAGATTTATTTGTTTAAAAATTTTGTAAATAAAACAATAAAAAATTTTATATAAAAGTTTTTGTAAAAATTAAAATGGTGTTTGCACAATAGAAACTTTCACATTTAAATTTAAAGTTTTGAATTCTGATTTTTTGCCATACTAAAGAATAAAATTTTACTCTCGATAGTTTTTTTATTCAAGAATTAACAATCAACGTGTAAAGCTGAGAAGATGATAAAAAAACAATTTCTTTAATATAAATAAAGTATCTGGAAAAATTAAACAAGAAATAGGGCAATAAGAAAATTAATTTCAAAGTTATTTTAATCTTTTACTGCAAAACTTTTGTCAGATTTACAAGAGTACCTTTAGTATTACTGGGATTGCTAAAAATCATTCATCATAATATTTTAATTAAAATGGGTTCAAATGTGTGCTATTCAAAACAGGAGTTTCAATGTTTTGCCTTTAGACTTGTCATAATATAACAATCAGAATAATTGTTTAAATTGCATACTTTAGGGAGACTAATACTAAATGTTCGGAAACCTTAATTGTCTGTTATTATGACTCGATTGCTTGAACTAAATGTTTAATATTACCAATTGGAACTGGTTTAAGTTTTACATTAGTTTCGAAAGCCAATTAAAAACAATTTATTATTTAAAAAAAATATAAAGAAATTTTAAAATACAACCGTTGGGGGCAATAAAAACTTTTAATATGTCAATGTATGTATGTACTTGTTTGCCTCTTTTGCTTTTGTACACAACCCATTTCCCGCTATTTTTCGCATTGTTATTCCTTTTTCCGAGAACAGATAAGAATTAATAATTTAAAATTTATGTAGCATAGATAGATTATCACTCAATAATTTGGCGAATAATTTCATGTATACATAATGTACCCATATATATATCTACATAAACATATAAAACATTTATATATATAATAATTATAATGAAAGTTCAAAAAATAAGGTTGTTTACACACAAATTTTGTAACTAGGTCTTTTTTTTAATTATTTTTTATTTTTTTTTTTTTTGTATTTTGTTTTTATTATTTCTTAAAGTTAATAGTCATTTAAAATAAATGTGATGATGACGTTTTTAAAAAAAATTATAACATATACACAAATATTATGAGACCCACACATATGCAAAATTAAATAAAATTATTCAGTTATAATTGAGTTATAATAAAAAAAAATTAAATAAAAAATTGATTTTAATCAAAATATAATTGCTCCTCTTTTACTGTCTATACAAATATACATATATATGCATATATGTATACAAATATATATATTTTGCGTAAATATATAATATTTTAATTGAAAACATAAAAATTAACTAACTGGCGCCGATCGTAAAATTTTTAATTACTAATTTTAATATTTTTTTAATCTGTCGAACAGTGTTTTTTCCACAAATATAAGTATATGTATGTAATGATAAGTACACATGAATCTACATACGTACTTGAATATGAATATGTATATGTCGGTATATATATGTATACATATGATGTATGATTATTGAAAAATGTTACATTATTGAAAAAAAAAAACAAATTGTCTTACAATAACAGTATAAACAATAAACAGTACGGTATTTAATTTTAAAAATTTTAATATTACTTGTTCATACATGTATACATACATATATACAAGCATACGTGTTCATGATTTTGTATATAATGTATATATATTTTATTTGTTTGTTTTTTAATTTGTTATTATTGTGTGATGTCAAAACATGTGAGCGAAATGCTATAAATTAACAAAAGTCAGAAAAGTGGCTCGAGTCTTATCACATAAAATACTTCAAAAATTGACATAAACATAGCTTTATGTTTATTTTTATATGAATATATGTCACACATATTTAAACACACATGTATTTGATACATATTGTTATACATTTAGCACCCGCGCAAAAATTTACTAATATTGACTTAAAAGATTTTGAAATTCATCTCGGCTAAGCCGAAAATCAATAGCTTTTATATTAACAATAGTAAAAAACTATATTTTTTGTTATTCTTATACATATGCATTTTTTTAGTACTTTTCCAAAAAATTTTTGAAAAAAAGTGCTTATTAGTTTTATTCTGTCCGTCCGTCTGTGGACATGTTTACAAAACTTCTACAACCTTGGAGATAGAAAGCTGAAATTTTATATGTACATAGATGTTTACTATAGAAACTTATTTCCAAAGAAGAAAATTTTTAAACCATAAAAACGACATTTTTCAACTATTTATTGCAGTGAAAGCATAAGCATTTTTTGAATTTTGCAAAAGTTGAAATATAGTGGCTGGCTTCTTCTATCGCAGGATACCATATGTGAGCTTTAAAAAAACAAAATGGCCGTTAAAATATATCGTTATCTGAAATTAGTTTTTTCCAAGTTTTTGATATTGTTTTTCTTGTAGACCCCATATTGTGAAAATGTGAAATTTTAACAGCTTTAAGACACTAATAATTAGTTTATTTCGTTAGACGAAGATTTTTTCCATCTCCCCTCCGCCTTGAGTTATCGCCTCCCGAAATTTGCAAAATTTGAAATTTTCGCGGCTTATATTTCGGAAATACCATCTTCAAAATTTGTTTTCAAAGCGATAATAGTGTTTTTTATAGAAGAACGGTTTTAAATTAGCCTTCTAAAAATAATCTTCGCGAGAAAAAGTAAGGTGAGTTCCGCAAGACCATTAATTCACGAAACTTTTCACACAATAATAGTTAAACTGATTGTTGTATGATACTCGTATGTCGCAGTGTTGTGGTTCGCTTAAATGTTGTCACAACAAAATAATGAAGCCATTATTAATCAAGTGATTGTAAATTAATTTAATATTAGTTTTTTTCATTCTCGACATACGCCAGTATTATTTTCGATGTGCAAAGAAATTAAAAAAAAAAAAAGAATTTTATTTTGAAAATATTTTAATGAACCGAAAATGTTACCAACGGTATTTTATTTTTATTAAAAAATTTAATTCTGAATTTAGAACAAAAATATTAAAAATAAAATGCATATTTCTAAAAATAGAATATAAAATTTTATTGTATTTTGAGAGGAAAAATAAAATCTTGAAATATAAATTGAAACAAAAAATTTATAACAGTTTCTAAATGTGTATATGTCATGGGCACTAACGTATGTAATTATGAAGTTATATGCAGTCAATACATACAAACGAATTTACATAATTTGAGATTAAAGAATACATCCTGACGTACATTTTAAGTTAGGTACTACTGAAACAAGTTCATAAAATTATCTTTAACAGAATTAGTTGAAATGTTAATATGCACATACAAGTATACACAATATATTTGATTAAATAAATAAAAATTCATATACATATGTATAAATATATATAGGATCACTTAAACTGTATGCACTAAACAATATACACAGAAATATGGTAAAAAATAATTACGAGTATAATCATTTCCCGAGGTTGTAATTACTCAGTAAGTATAGATTTCTAAATATCAATTGAACAAGATTACTTGTAAATAGTAAATATATTTACTTGTATAGATAAATTTTGGAAATTATATGTGAAAGAGAGTCTATTATAATTGTTTTCATCCTGTGCAGTATTTAAGTATATGTACTTATATACTACGTGTATCTAAAAGTCTCTTACTAATAACCTGGGTCTGTGAAAGCAAGGGCTAAACTAAGGTAATATATCAATAAGAGTGAAACAAGTGAGTTACATTTTTAAGTTTACCACCGTTTAACTCATTAATTTTACGATATTGTTATTGTTCTTTAACTGATAGTTGATATCAAGCTTTCAAGTAAACGAAAAGAGAAATTTTTTACCGTTTTAAGTTAAATTTATAAATTAGATATAAAGGAAAGCCAAACTCTCCTTCGCACATAATTATAAATTAGATTGTCGATAATTAATTTCACTGTTTCCTAATAATACCCAATATCGTAAATTTACTTAAATTCAAAAAACCCACATATAACTGTCATCAAATTTCCAGCAAAAAATATTGTAAATAATATTAGTTAGTATAATAGATTAACGTCTACTTATATAACTTTTGCATAGATGAGAACACAATCTAGAATTCTCACTAAAATTTTATTAGTTTTGACCTTAACTTTCACATTCAACTAATTCAAAATAAAAACTTAAAAATATCTACAAAATTCTTTGTATGTATTTTTTATGTTCCATATGATTTTACTTGTGAAAAAAAAAACAATTACTCTCTGTGCTGATAAATTTTTAGTACTGCTGGACTTTCTGATTAGCGGAATATTTTTTTTCTAGATTTTATGTTGTTTTTTTCTTCAGCATTCGTCTTTTGGTTTTATCATCAAAAAGTGTTTTCATTTTGTAGAAGTTCAATTAACCTGATAAGGATTTTTTTTATATACTTAAGAATATATGATGGTAAAAACTATCAAAACGCAAATATTTTCCTTGTTAAAAGTACGTAGAAAATATTTTATCCAATTTGTACTTTTGAACACTGTTCACTCTTGAATTTTTTAATGGGCTTAATGAGTACAAATATAAAGCCAATTTAAATGCGCACGTAATTCATCGAACCTTTTGATTAATTACAGACCTTTTTTAAAATTTGGAATTATGTATTATGATACCTCAATCTAACATACTAATTTGAACCTTAAAAATATACAATTTATTAAATTGGATGTCTGAAATGCATTTATTAGTAATTAACTTTTTAAAACCATAAAGGCCTGCTTCTATCAGATTGAAATTAAATAAGGTTTTAGAAAAGTATAGCCAAAAAGTAAGAATTTAACAATAGGCAAGATTTTTAATGCATACCCATCTCGGAAAAAAAAATCAAAATTTCTCTTAGTACCCAAAAGATGTTGCTGCACTAAAACAGCCGTAAAACATACCAAGCTTATATCAGCA